AGTAGGATTTTCATTTTGTATTTTCATTAGTCGTTCAGAATCGTACCTGTCATTGTTTCAACTAACTTTTTTACGAATTTGCTCTAAAATCCTACTTAACCTTGTTTTTTTTTAATTTTTATGTTTAATTATTGAGGTAATACAAGTACATGTCATTCCTACATTTTTATGGTCTAACTAAAAATTTTAGAAAAATTAAAAAATCAAATATTCATGATTATTTTTTTGGAACATTCATTGCCATGATTATGATAACTACATGTACAACCATTTTGAATAGGCAGAAAATACAGAGGATTGTTAAGCTACTTTTACAATATACATAACACTGTGATGTTATTATGTTTATGTTTAAAGCAACATAAGAGCAATGATAAGACATCTTTGGTCTTATGTTGTGCACAATGTTGTAAGTGATGTCATGACTCACGAGTGAAGTTGAGTATACTGTAAATCTAGCTTTAGTTACAACTACACATACCGTATAGCAGAAAATTTTCGTGGCCCAAAATTTTCGTGGATTTCGCGTTTTTTTCAAAACCAACAAAAATAAAATCCACGAAAATCGATTTTATACGGTTTAAGATGGCCGAATTAGAAAACCACGAAAATTAAAGCCACGAAATTGATTTTTGGACAGATCCACGAAAATTTTGGGCCACAAAAATTTTCCGCTATACGGTACACATGTATTACAACAGTTATGTTTTTCTCATTTAAAACTGACAGTTAAGAAGGGAATTGAATAAAAGATTCATGGTGCATTAATTACATGATACTCACATTTTTTGCAGTGTTTCGATCAGCTCCATTCTTTAACAGTAAATGTACAATGTCATAATGTCCTTCCTTTGCTGCTTCAATAAGAGCAGTATGTCCTGTCTATAATAACAAGATAATGATGCCATAATAAACTCATATTGCACCATTATTGCATACCATAGGGTGCCTTTTTTTGAGGGCTATAAATTTCGTGGATTTTTATTTCACGGATTTAATTTTCACGAATTAATGCCATCTGCCATTTTGTACCGTATTAATTTGATTTTAGTGAAAGTAATTTTCGTGAATCTTTAAAAAAATCGCAAAATCCGTGAAATTTATATCCCTCAAAAAAAGGCGCCCTATGGTAGTTATGAGTGGCTTAGATCACTGCAGTGGTCTTCTTGGGTTAAAGTACATGTGGTACATGTACCTTTAATAACTAATTAATCATTAGAGCCTGCTTTCTAATAATATCTTGATAGTGATTGAACTGTTTGGTGAAAAGAATTCTTAAATTCTGTCATCTCCTCATTCATCCACTGAATACAAGGTTTAATAAAGTGCATTTCTTTGACTTGAGGCCCATGAGATGTACACTGTACATGTATATATTATGTACACACATTATATTGGACAAATGACAATTAAGATGCCTTAACAATTAATTCACTCACATCTTTTACATAAGTTAGTGTAACCACAGCAAACAAATTAAATGGCAGCTTGCATGCAAGGTGGTGAAAACAATTAGGAATATTTTTACACTATTAGTACTTGTAACTAAGGCAATGGTTAGTACAATAAATTCTAATTACAAGATACATGTAGCTACATGTACATATAACAATTATAACATTTCAATGATGAGACAATAAATAATGATCAAAATAACTTACAAAGTTTGATTTTGAAGGATCAGCTCCTTTCTTCAGCAGTAATTCTACAACATCCCAGTTTCCTTCTCTTGCTGCTACAATAAGAGCAGTATCTCCTCTCTATAATAACAAGATAAGGATAGATTTCCTTCTAATGTTGCCATTGCCTCCAAAAAATAAATTATAATTTTGATTGACATTAGTGAAAATGAATGTAAATATGTACAATTACAAGGTTGGGTATTTAGATAACTGCACAATACTGGATTGATTCTGATTAGACATGAAGTGTGTGTACACCAAGGACTTGAGTGATTGTGTTTATAAAGCAAGAAGTACTTGAAGGTCCTTTATAATCAATGATCATATAATAAGCAGTAGCGCTTGACTTGTACTTATACATACACATGTAAGTACTACTCTAGTACTTCTAAGGCAGCTAGTACATGAGTTCCTAATTATGATAGCTACATGCATATACAACATAAACATGTACAATACATATTTCTAAGATATAATTTAATACTGCAAGAACTTACATTGTTTAAATCTGAAGGATCAGCTCTTTTCTTCAGCAGTAATTCTACAACATCACAGTTTCCTTTTCTTGCTGCTTCAATAAGAGCAGTATCTCCTCTCTATAATAACAAGATAAAGATAGTTTGCCATTAATTGTCCCCAAAAAAGAGAAATTTGTGTAGAATCTGGTTGTTGCACATTGTAGTTTTAAAAAACAACTAAGGGTAGCCATGTGTCTACTGTATGGCCTAGCCAGACACTGTTTTAGTGTCACAGAGGACATAGAGATCTGACTATGTGAGACGAGTTAAAAAGTTAAAGGTTAGAACATCATTGCAAGGCATAACAGGGAGAGTCCTTTAGGATCATACATGTACATGAATGAACGAGAATTTGTAACTACATGAGTGTACATGAGTGCACAACTGCACATACAGTATAAAATAAGTACATTGTATGTAATGTACAGTAAGCAGCATGGAAGTGGTTCACAAAAGCTTTGTGAAACAGTTAATTAACTTTTTACGACCTGAGCTACACATGTTGTATTGGAGAAATAACAAGCCTTAGCAACCACCGACCCACACTCCTTTTACATAGTGGGTGTGGCTACAGCAAGCAAAAAGGTGGCTTACACACAGGACAAAGTTATGAACTTTCTAACAGCAAGGGAACATAAAGATACTGTCTAAAGACTTTTCTAGAAGCATTTAAAGGTAGAAAGAACCTTTATATGTCTTAATAAGTTTCCAGCTCTGCATGAAAGGTGGTAAAATCAATTATAGGAATATTTTTACACTGTTACATTGGTATACACATGTAGTATGTGTGAACTACATTTTTTGTCAATATGCAACTGATACGGCTAACAGTTAGAGTATTATACATAATTTCAAAGGGTTGACCAGCTTCTAAATTTAGTACCTTGTGCTATTTCTCATGCATGAACATCTACATGCATATAATTTCAAATTCTTTTGCTATATGCCTTAAGCATTTATGTGTACATGCACGGTACACCTACACTATTGTGCATGTAGTAAATACATGTAAGTCTAGATAGTGGTTGTCATTAAATATTCCCAGTTGCTTACTACATACATTATTGGTTTTAGTGCTATCATTAATTGCTACATAAACATGTACATGTATTATGTCATGTTTATCAGTACTATTATACTGCATGTATCTAACTATAGTCCGACCACCATAGGCAGAACTATGTGTATATGTACATGTACATGCTGTTTGTACAGTACATGTACATATACATGTATATACATTACTTATGTGCGTTAATTTTAAGGTATGTATCCTACTTCATGTTTTTCTCGAGTGTTTCCTTTTTATGTTGTATCGTGTGCCAGTTTAGGGAGTTGGTCTTCCTTAGTTTTGATTGTAAAATTTCTCTTTTGATTTTGTTTCTAATAATTGTAACAAACCTTGTTCTCTGTACACGTAAACATTTATGTTTATGTCTCTTGTTTCCTCTACCTCTCTCTCATGTCTTTCCCACTCTTTCACTCTCTCCTAATCATTCTCTTTGTTCTGTTCTTTTTTCCTTGTACTTGTTTCCTTATGCCTAAGTGTACTAGTTCTAGATAGTGAATTTAGAAAGGGATCTTCAAAACCCTAAATTAAAGGCCTTTTCACACTGGCACAGTTTTCAAAGCGCTTTGATGCGCTTTGTTGATACAGCTGAAATAATGCGATCGTGTTCACACTAGCAGCTGGATTATGTAGCATTTTGTGTTCTTGTTGCCATTGGTTTACATTGATTGAAGCGCATCACTTCACATCAATCCACCTCTGGAGGTGAAGCGAGGGTGATGCGCATCAATGCGCATTAATTGAAAACCACTCTAGTGTGAACACGATTAATGTGCATCAATGCGCATTACTTGTGCCATTGTGAAAAAGCCTTAAAAACAGTACATTTCACTGTCTTCTGTCCTAAAGTTCTTTACACTAAATTTCTAAAGAGAAAACTATATATACGAGACACCGATGGTGCATTGACCTTGCCAAAACAAAAAAAAACAATACTTATTTTGTTCTACATGTATGATTTCAAAACTATAATTTGTCCTGCATAGTTACCACT